CTTGCCAGCATTGAGGCTGCAGATCTTACCGTTGGAGTCGTAGTTACAGACAGACATGTCCAGATCCGCAAAGCCATGGCAACAGATCACAGTGACAAGAAACATCAGTTTGACGTTTGGCACCTTTCAAAGTCAATAAAGAAGAAGATCTTAGCCATAAAGCCAAAGAAGCTACTAAATGAGGTTAAGCCATGGATCCCCTCCATCTGTAATCATATTTGGTACTGCTCCCGACAAGCTGATGGTGATCCTGATAAACTTGAAGAGACATGGAGAAGCCTGCTTTTTCACATTTCCAATAGGCACACCTTTCCTGGGAAGATTGTGACACAATGTGGACACCCCCCACTGAGCCCTGATGATATAAGGAAAAAGAAATGGTTGAACCAAGACAGCCAAGTATATGCTGCTTTAGAGAAGGTTGTCACAGACAAGCTTATTCTGCGGGACATACGTCAACTAGATCTTTTTTGCCACACAGGAGCATTGGAAACGTACCACTCCATGATGCTGAAATACTGTCCCAAGCGAATCGAGTTTGAATATGCATCCATGGTTGCCCGTACTCAGTTGGCAGTGGTAGACAACAATGTGAACATCGGAAGAAACCAAAAGACCGATGCCAATGGCAAACTGTCTTTCGCAACCCGATGTCCCAAGAGCACTGGAAGGTGGACGGCCCGCAAAATATACGAAAAGAAGGATTACGATTTCAAAGCCGATATATTACAGTTTGCAGTCACCAGCCAACAGGAGGGAACCAACAGGAAAACAATTCACCAGCTTAAGTCACTGTCACTGCCAGCAAACATAAGCAAGGACCCTGCGCCGTGTAAGGAAGACCTGGTTGACGATCACAGGTCTCGCTTTTCTTGATCAAATATCTGACAAATTGACAGTTTGTTGAGCGTGATGTTGCATTAATTGATCAACTATCCCTATTGATGCTTTTATTTTTTTTTATATGAAGTCTTATAAATATATATGTATAAACAAGTTTAATAGAGGAAAGAAGTGAAAGTAGTCATTGCTTAATTAGAGGAGATCAAGAGGGGCAGATGGAAGAAAGATGCAAGCCGAAAACGTTTGTGTAAGACTTGAATTATTTTCCATTTGTAATATCTATATTTTAATCATGTACCAAGTCGAATTCCTTGCTTTATTGAAGTAAGTTTCTGGATAGTACAAAATCCGTACATAAATATATATACATGTATAAATAAATTCAGGAAAGTAGTGAACAAAGTCTTTGTAAAATGAGAGGAGATCGAGAGAGTCAGATAGTAAAAATATGCAAAATGAAACCTTTGTGAGAGACTAAGTATTTACCTTTGTAATATCTTTATTTGAATCGTGTACAGTATCATAATTCGTTGATTTATTAATGTTAGGTTTCTGCATCGTATAAAGTTATAATGTAACATGAATAACTATTTGTGTGTTAATTTGTTATTGATTGTGTCAAAAAGAATAAACCTGTATGAAGTACTTCAAACTCTATTGTCTTTCCAAAACGTTTGAGCAGTATAACAACCATAAACGATATAATTACCTCCATTAAAATATAAAATAGAAAATGTGGTATGATTGCCAATGAGATAACTCTCCACAAGAGACAAAATTTCACAGAAATACTTAAGCAGCTATAGATCACCGTACGGCCCTCAACAATGAGCAGGACCAATACCGCATAGTCAGCTGTAAAAGGCCACGAAGTCACAAATGTAAAACAATTTAAACGAGAAAACTAACGGCCTCATCAATGTACAAAAAATGAACGACAAACAAATATGTTACACAGCAACAAACGACAACCAATGATTTGTAAGTCATTTATAAAGGTAATATGTATAAGGGTGAGAGACAGGCCCGGAGACTGGTCGACCGATTAACGTATCCGGGTAGAGTGGCATGTTCTCTTACAAACTTGTTACCTTGTGCAATAGCATGATAAATTTCCAATATCCAGTTCCATGGTCTTGTTTGTAAAAAGGCGAAAGATACCAAAACGGATAGTCATATTCATTAGTAAAAAAACATACTGACAACGTCATGGCAAAAAATAACCAATAAACGATCAAAAGACAAACAAAGGGATAAAAAACACATCATAGAAAACTGGTCTAGATTGCTCACATAGGCGGATCCAGGGGGGGGGCTGTTGGCCCGGCCCCCCTTTTCGTGGGAAAAATTTTGTTGATTATATAAGGAATCACTGAAGCACGACTGGAGCGGGCCCCCCTTAGGTCAGTCAGCGGGCCCCACCTTATGAAAAGTTCTGGATCCGCCACTGGCTCAACACAAACCCCACCAAAAACTAGGGATGATCTCGGGTCAAATCATATCAACTTTCCGTGGTACTGTGGTAAACCAAACCTTAATGTTATATACAACAAGCAATCTATAAATTAGACATCAAAGTGAAAGAATTCATATATAGGTTTATTAATACGCAAATAATAAAATTAATCTGAAACATTCTGTGAAAAATTGTATTGGTTAATCGTTTAAATGTCAATTTTAGAACTATTCAGAGTCTGACGTGTCACTATCACATTCTTTGAATCCTTCGTATACCCCATCCAGTGACGGAAACTCTTTTCTAATTATGTTAACTACACAAGCCGGTAGGATAATTCTGTGTTTCTTGCCAAGTGGTTGACCTTTCCTGACCCAACAAACAAACTGACGATAAGCCATTAGTCTGCTTTGCCTGTGAGTAAGTGCGTCTGGAGCTCTCCCTCTATGGCGCTTGTACCTCAGGAAACTAATGTAGCTTGTTTCCAGAACAACGGGGTTTAGACAAACTATTCTAAAATCTGTATTTTCAGTGACACATTCACCAAATTTCATTTTTTCGTCAAATAGCGTAAATTCGTGGCAACAGAAACATTCCGCCGGCAATGGCATGACTATACAGTTTGTACATGAACACCAATTGGTGTCAAACTGGCGAGGGTTGTTTATAATATCCTGCTGTCTAGAATTTTCTGCAGCTTCAATTTGTTGGAGTTCTTCTTCAGTGTACTCTGGTTCTAATATGTACCCAAATTGACCCCACTCGTCAAAATTTGCCTCACTTGGGGAGCTGGATACACTATCAGAACTTTCACTCTCTGAACGAGACATTTTAGCTTAATAGTATAGATTTATTTAAAGGGCTTTATATATAAAACTTTTTTATTCTTACAAAAACAACCACGTTCCAATCATAAGAAAACAAGAAATTGAGAAAAAGTTAATTGAATAAGTTAATTCGACGTCTTTTGATCTAGTATAAAAATTAGCTAGAAGTTATTCTTTATAATTTGATGAGCTTGTGTATTTATAACAATGGTGATTCCATTATTGAAATTCCAGGTTATCCAAACTAATATTTGTGTATTCATGTTAGATTTTAAAGGCCTCGGGGTTGAAACCACACATTGATTGAAATAAAATAGACAGCACTTTGCCAGATTTAATCACAAAGAATAAAAAAAAAATAATAATTTTTGTTCGTAATTATTCGATTCCATTCCAATAAGACAAAGTTGACTTTTAAATTGTTCTGTCAACTTTTTTGATATCTTTGTTCAAATAGCTGAAGTATTAGTACGTGGTGAGAATTGAAAAAATTGATAAGTAGATTAATTCCTGAATATGTAAATAAAGATCGCTTTGGACGGACCAAATTATGTAATTGCAATTGGTAATTACTATCTATTTCAAACATTCAAGGTCACCGATTCTAATTTAAAATAGTACTATTTTTTATTTCATTTACTCGTGTTTATAAGGACATTATTATTCATAAATTCATTCAATTAAATTAATTCAGTATTTCATTGTTACAAAAAGTTTTCAGTGTTCATAATACATTTAAATTGAGCTTATGCAAAATATTAAAATTCTCCCGTTTATCATTCATACGAAATGTTGTTCACACCTGGAACGGTGAACCGTGACGGCTTAAATTCACTGAGTAAAGATCAAAAGATTAGAATTACATAATGCTAATCTTTTAATTAACTGGAATTTAACCACGCATTCAACAGGTAGTCACTAAGTGTCTCAGTACAATACACATTGTATTTACCCAGTACTATCGGGAAATGTTTGCTAGGCTGAAGTAAAAGGTCAGAATACAAGCATGTAATACATTATCAGATAAATATGTTTGTTCAAAGTATCCGTCGGAAAAAAAATCATAAAAATATTCTATTGTATGATTTACTTTTATTACTAAAATCATATCAGAAATCCTTAAATATAATTAGAACATTTTTAGTTTTAAAAGTTGCACGGCTGACACTTTACTTTCTTAATTATTAGTTGGTTAATGGCTACACCAAAAATCGTCGATGCGCTTTAAATCGCGTTATAAGATGATTAACGAACAAGACTTAAAATGAGATTATTTCCACTCCCGGCATGCAAAAAGACTTAAACTACGTCACATAAGTCAGGAAGTTCGAATAAATTTAATTAATAATTCCCAATTTTCTTCTTTATTGGTGTTCATATCCAGATAAAACTTGGTGAATATGTTTTTTATGGTATTATGAACATAATTAGATGATAAGTAAAAAATCGCGAATTTTCCCTTTAATGACTTACCATTGGTGGTTCATCTAAAACTGCCCTAATCAAAAATTTTAATATGTAAACTTAGAAAATGTTTTAGTCAATAGACTATAATTTAGGGAACAGGGCCATATAATATCCATGGAAATGAGAAATGCCAATGCAAATTCAACTGTATACCAAATACCAGTGGCTTAGAATAAGTAGTTCCCTTTAAATTGTCTAAAACACATACTTTAACATGTAAACTATGCAAAAGTTTCAAAATCAAAAGACAATGAGACAAGACTGAGAGGGGTGAGATCATATTATCTCCTTTGCAATTGTGGCAATGATAATACAACTGCTTACCAACCATCAGTGACCAGCCACTTAAAGTTCCCCTATCACTGAGCTAATCACAAACTAATATATTGTTGTTGCTACCAACTTACTTCTGTATCTTATGATCCCTCTAATGCATTTCCCACATTCTTTACAACGAAATCTGGTTGTTGTATCATATTTCTTCTTTATGGGATCCAAATCAGGGTCCTTGCTGCCTACTATTGCACTGGTGTCCTGTTGTTGGTGTTTAGATTTGACTTCTTTTGGTTTCCAGTCTGAATCATTTTCTGTAATTTAATTTCAAAATATTCTTTTTTTTTTAACACTTGCTTATATCATCAAATTATCAAATAAACTGTTATCACAGAGATATGTCTCACCTTTTTGTATGCAAATGTTGAAATTGAAATAGCAATACTTTAACATGCAAGTTATGCAAATATTCAAAGTCAATGAACCATGACTCAAGGAACATGGCTGAACAATCTCCATGGAAATGAGATGTGCCAATGTTAATACAACTGCATACCAAATACCATTGACTAATCATAAGTCGTTCCCTTTAAACAAACCTAAACACAAACATTAACTTGTAAACTATGTAAAAGTTTCAAAGTCAATGAACCATGATGAAGGGGTGGGGCTATATAATCTCCATGGAAATAAGGCTTGCAAATGCCAATAAATTTGCATACCAAATATCATTGACTTAACATTAGCACTTCATCGTAAACTGATTTAATCACAAACTAATACATTTTAACTAAGCAAATGTTTCAAAGTCAATAGACCATGACTGAGGGGGATGGGGCCAAATATTCTCCATGGAAATGAGATGTGTTAATGCTTATACAACTGCATACCAATTAACATTGGCCTTCCACTAATGGTTCCCCTTGAACTGACCTATTCACAAACTAATACATGTAAACTAAGCAAAATTTTCAAAGTCAATAGACCATGACTAAGGGGGCGGAGCCAAATAATCTCCATGGAAATGAGATATGCCGATACTTATACAACTACATACCAAATATCATTGACCTACCACTAGTGGTTCCCCATAAACTGACCTAATCACAAACTAATACATGTAAACTAAGTGAAAGTTTCAAAGTCAATAGACCATGACTGAGGGGGCAGGGCCAAATAATCTCCATGGAAATGAGATGTGCCAACGCTTATACAACTGCATACAAAATATCATTGACCTACCACTTGTGGTTCACCATAAACTAGACCTGATCACAAACAACTAGACCTAATCACAAACTAATACATTGTTGACGCCGCCGACTCCGATGCCGGAAACAGCATATCTAGGTCTCGCTTTTTGACTCCGTCAAGGCGAGACAAAAACTAGGACTTCAAAGGCATATCATACAAAAAAGCAAGGAGAAGTAATGATGCAAAGAGAGAAACATTTTTAAAACCTTGCAACATTTTTCTTTACAAGTCCAATACCCATTTATTAAGGACATGCTATTCCGTAGTTTTAAGGCAAAATAAAAAGTTATTTCTCCAAATGTTTAATTTTTTGCAAGAAGCACATATCAAAATTTCTGTCCTGCAAAAAAAATACATGATTTAAAATAGTGTTAATTAGATTAACTTTCAATTTTTCATATAATCTGAATACCTTAGTAATTATTTTTTGTTTTAATGAAAACTGGTGTATTAGGATTGTTAATAAATATCTGTTTTGTTGGCTCATTCAGTTATCTCAATAAAAAAGCTCTATATTTGATTTAAAGCTAATATTTTACAATAAAATTTTATATATATTTTTCTTAATATCCTTAAATGTTATATTCTGTAAAAATGGTTCAACTTAAATTCAAGTTTTGGTGATGACTTATATTGCTCAAATACCACACTAACTATACCCAAAAAGTTTGAAAAAATACACATCTGCTGGGTCTGTTTTTTTGTGAAAAAAATTTATTTGTTTTGATAAAAAGGCTTAGGCCGTGATAACCAATATATTCAGAATGAATAAAAAGCTACCAATGTAAACTAAAATTATTCCATTGTGAAAAATGACAAGCATGCAATATAATCAGAGCCCAGCAATATAACTTTTTCTTAAAACCTTGTGAGAACATGACTTACCTGCTGTTGCAGTCATTTCTTCATTCTCTGATTCCGTTTCTTCATCGTACAGTTCTCCTTCCTCCTCATCATGCTCGTCAGATGGTAATATAGATCTGATGGCTGACAGTGTAACCTCATCAGAAACATTTCTAAGATACTCTGTCTGTGTTGGTCTACTCTCTACCATTTTGTTCTCAACTGCTATATCATGCTTTTCATGTTTATCTATATGTATATCTCCTGAGCCCTGTAAGTTATTATCAGATGAACAAAGAAGTAGAGCTTCTTCCAGTGGAATCATCCGAGATTCTCTAGTATCGACCACCCTTGATGAAGTATACCTATGTTCTTGTTTAATAACATCGTCCTGGCTACCATCAGATGTCTCCAAGGTCATATTATCCACTGATCCTTCATTTCCCATTTCTTCACTAGAATTTGTATGTGGACTAGCTGTATGACTTTTTGCCTGTTTATGGAGGACTGCCTGTTGATTAATATTCTGGTCATCTTCAACTAGTTGTTTACAGTTTATTATTTGCTCAATATCATCTACATGCTGTTCAATAACATCACTAGAATTACAAATCATAGTCTGTTCTTCTTGAGAAACAGATGGCTGGTTTCTGCTAATCTCATCCAGTTCTCCTACTTCTTCGTCCTTTTTTATAATTTCATTTGTCACAGATGTATCAGCGTCTGTATTTTCACACAATCCGGAATTTTCAATCTCCATCTCATTCTCTTGTTCAAAATGAGGCTGGTCATTTTCTGTCATTTCTACGAACTCACTAGAAACTTCTGTGTGATCATTGTCTGTCCTGAAACAATCTTCAGCTGTGTCGTCTAAAATGTTTTGATATCTATATAATGCAATTGACTTATGCTGCTTAGTTTTTTGCGTCATCTTTGGATCATCTTGCTGCAATGAAAAAATACTTTTAAGGTATTATTTTCAATAAATTACCATTTTAAAACACCTAATTGTCTTTAAAACTAAATGAACATTTATTGTAAATTGACTGTATGCTCTCTCTCTCACCATTTTCAGTCCATAGGAAATCTGAGATAACTGAAGCCCAAACTGTTCAATCGGTAATATGTTTTACAAAAATACACTGAGGGAACTACAATCAACTTATCAATGTAATTAGCATAATGACATAACAATGAACACTAGCAGTCCTATAGGTTAAGTATTTACTGTCTGTTGACATCCAAAATGATGATATGAAACAATTTTACAAATTGTAAGTGAAATAAGAAAATACTTTTTCATTTCTGATTAAATCGCTATGAAATTGTCAAAAGTTTCATGTTATCTTTTGGTAAAAAACATCATCTCCTTTATTGAAAAGTTTTAATCTGACTAAGGTCTATTACTGTGGATTCGTATATTTTTGTGAGTACCAATTTCTTGGATTGAGGAAACATTGTATTTTTGTAGATATTTGATTAAGTTGTTTTGCCAAAGTCTGCATACAAGCATATTATAATTTGTATTTGTATTTTATTGAACATCGAAATTTATGATTCATCTTTAGCCACAAAATCAATGAAAATTGGTATCCAACCAAAAATTATTAATCCACAGTAAAACGATTTTAATATTACAAATGAGAAAACATTCCAACAAACTCACCATAACTCTTATCTTCTTGTACAATGAAACCCTTTGTAGAAGATCATATTTTTTTAATGCAGCATTTCTTTTGACGTTTGCTGGTTTTGGAAGATTACAACAAGAGTGTACAAAATCTTCACAGTTTTCCTTCATGCCATTCCATATATATCCTTCGCTTAACATTTGTAATGTGTCAAGTTGATTTAAATGATTTCCACGTTCTATAAAAATGGTAAAAATTATATTTTATATATTATGTATTGTACCTTAAACTTGAACACAATTTTTAAGCTGATGCTATAGAATTTTAAATAAATTTTAAAGTTTTTAACTTGTTTCCTTTCATTTTTTCTTCAATTAAAGAAAAGATTTGCAACTTTTTTCTGAAACAAGATCTACTTTGAAGAAATATTTATGTCAATAAAATGCTTCACCCAGATATGAGACAACTTGTGAAGATAGAATGTATAAAGTTGAAGATTTTTATTTGCTACTTGAATCAAATTAAAAAAAAAACAGGATTTTTACAGCTTTTCTATAAAAGCATGCAAAGCAAACCTTTGATCAACTTGCTTGCTATGTTTGTCTGGATGTTTGTAAATAACAGGTAGGTAGTCTATTTCAGTCTGTTTACTATATACTGGAATTTGATTGGACAATAAACATTAACTTCATTTAAATGTTAAGTTTCACATTGTATGTCAATTTTTATTGTCCAATCAAATACCAGTATATATTAAACAGACTGAAACTCTGCCTACCCTTTTGTTTACAAACATCCAAGCAAACATAGCAAGCAAGTCGATCAAAGGTTTGCCTTGCATGCTTTTATAGAAAAGCTGTAAAACTTATCTTTATTTTTTCACAGACTCATTATATTTTGTGATTATAAAATAAAATGCTCCGCAGGGCGCAGCTTGATACGACCGCAGAGGTCGAACCCTGAACAGTTGGGCCAAGTATGGACACAACATTCAAGCTTGATACAGCTTTGCATTTGGATTGTGATTAAATATTTGACACAGCATAGGTTTCTGACACAGAATGAATGTGGTCTAAGAACTTAAAAATTTTAAATTGGACATTCACCTATTATGGTCCAATATCCAAAATCTAAATACATGGTTAGATTCAGCATATCAAGGAACCCCAACAATTCAATTTTTGATGAAATCAAACAAAGTTTAATTTTGGACCCTTTTGACCTCAATGTGGACAAAGTTGATAACAGGGCCCAAAAATCAAAAATTTAAATACATGGTTAGATTAAGCATATATCAAAGAACCCCATATATTCAATTTTTGTTGAAATCAAACAAAGTTTAATTTTGGACCCCGATTTGGACCAACTTGAAAACTGGGCCCATAATCAAAAATCTAAATACATGTTTAGATTCAGCATATCAAAGAACCCTAAGAATTCAATTTTTGTTAAAATCAAACTAAGTTTAATTTTGGACCCTTTGGACCTTAATGTAGACCAATTTGAAAACGGAACCAAAAATTAAGAATCTAAATACACGGTTAGATTCGGCATATCAAAGAACCCCAATAATTCAATTTTTGATGAAATCAAACAAAGTTTAATTTTGGACCCTTTGGACCTCAATGTGGACCAATTTAAAAACGGGGCCCAAAATCCAAAAACTAAATACACGGTTAGATTCAGCATATTAAAGAATCCCAAGAATTCAAGAATAAAACCCCATTGAAATTGGTCAAAAAATAAGCAATTTATACGAAGTATCTTCTTTTGCACAATACTGTGCAATTAAATATTTCTTGCTATTGCGCAATACTGTATAATTGACAATTTCTTGCTATTGCACAATATTGTGCTATTGGATATTTCTTGCTATTGGGCAATACTGTGCAATTGAAGATTTCTTGCTATTGCGCAATACTGTGCAATTGAAGATTTCTTGCTATTGTGCAATACTGTGCAATTGAAAATTTCTTGCTATTGCACAATACTTATTATATAATAATTTACACATCCTGTTTGGTGTGTATCTCCTACCATATCGTTATTATTTGCTTTTAAATATATATCAGAAATAACCAACATAAAATGGAAAATTTTAAAAGAAAAAAAAAGGAAAAAAAGAAAAAAAATGAAAAAAAAAAAAAATCCCCCCCAAATTTTTGGAACCCCCTTATGATTCATCACCCCCAAACTCAATCCCAGCCTTCCCTTTATGGTATGGTACCTTGCAGTACAATTTCAGAGAGATCCATACACTTGAACACAAGTTATTGTCTGGAAACTAGAAAAATGTGTTTTTTGGCCCCTTTTTGGCCCCAAATTCCTAAACGTTTAGGGCAATTACCCCCAAACTCAAACCCAGCTTTCCCTTTGTGATATGGAACCTTGTAGTACAATTTCAGAAAGATCCATACACTTACACACAAGTTATTGTCATGAAACTAGAAAAATGCTTGTTTTTTGCCCCTTTTTGGCCCCTAATTCCTAAAATATTGAGGCAATTACCCCCATCATCAATCCCAGCCTTCCCTTTGTGGTATGGTACCTTGCAGTACAATTTCAGAGAGATCCATACACTTGAACACAAGTTATTGTCTGGTAACTAGAAAAATGCTTATTTTTGGCCCCTTTTTGGCCCCCAATTCCTAAACGTTTAGGGCAATTACCCCCAAACTCAAACCCAGCTTTCCCTTTGTGATATGGAACCTTGTAGTACAATTTCAGAAAGATCCATACACTTACACACAAGTTATTGTCATGAAACTAGAAAAATGCTTGTTTTTTGCCCCTTTTTGGCCCCTAATTCCTAAAATATTGAGGCAATTACCCCCATCATCAATCCCAGCCTTCCCTTTGTGGTATGGTACCTTGCAGTACAATTTCAGAGAGATCCATACACTTGAACACAAGTTATTGTCTGGAAACTAGAAAAATGCTTATTTTTGGCCCCTTTTTGGCCCCCAATTCCTAAACGTTTTGGGCAAATACCCCCAAACTCAATTCCAGCTTTCCCTTTGTGATATGGAACCTTGTAGTACAATTTCAGAAAGATCCATACACTTACACACAAGTTATTGTCATGAAACTAGAAAAATGCTTGTTTTTTGCCCCTTTTTTGGCCCCTTATTTCTTAAATTTTGAGGCAATTACCCCCAAAATCAATCCCAGCATTCCTTTTGTGATATGGAACCTTGTGGTACAATGTCAGAGAGATCCATACACTAACACACAAGTTATGTCTGGAAGTTACAAAAATGCTTATTTTTGGCCCCTTTTTGGCCCCTAATTCCTTTACTGTTGGTACCATAACCCCCAAAATCAATCCCAACCTTCCTTTTGTGGTATTGAACCTTGTGGTAAAATTTCATAGCGATCCATTCACTTAAACTAAAGTTAGAGTGCGAAAACCAATGTGTTTTGTTTTTTTTTGCGGTCGTATAAAAATGTATCCACATATAAACGAGTGACATCCTCTAAACAGCAAATCAAAGTATATTGCACATCATAAAAGAATAATAAAGGTTTATTTCTTTCAATTTAATCAAAACTTTCATGAAGCATTTTAACATTTTACAACTATTGCATTTACACAAAACTTTAGTCAAGAAATTTCATTTAATTTTATTTTTCAATTCAAAATAGGGTCATGACCTTTTGTAACCTCTTGAAAGTTAGTATGTCTATAGCTAACCTGCAATAACATGAACATTCCTAATGGCATTTTTCTTGGCTCTAGCTGCTATCTCAAGACACACATTAAAATCTCTATCTGGTCTCCTGTAGTATAACTGGCCATTGTTGATAATGAACCAGTTGGCCAGTAATGTTATCAGTCTAGCTTTGTTTGGTTGAACAGACTGTAAAATCTTTCCTTTCTGTAGATACTTAACCAACAAACTGTAGTTTTCTTCAGCAAGCTTGGCTCTCTCCTCCTATAGAAAAAAATGAAATAGGTTTTAATAAAATGTTAAATATGCTAAATTGAAATAGTATATTATTATTGTTAAAACTACACCAAGAAAACAGCATATTTAAGAAATTTGTGTACACAAATACCAAAATTGTGGAATACTGATTTCTGTGAAAAAATGTTAAATACTGTTATACAACTGCTTTGTAATACAAGCATTACGACTGAGATAGCAGGTTTGTTAATTGGCAATCTCACAGATTTTCATGATTATTGCATGATACTAGATCATCTGGAACTAGATAGAAATATTGTGAAGAAAAAAATATATGTTATTTTTATACTTTCTGAGATATAGCAGAGTAATTATTAAGAAAGTAGAAGTACAAATCATGAAATAAAGGGAAATATCACAATTTTGTTTTAGCAATTTTGACTTTGAATTATCATTTGTCAAAATCCTGTCCAACAGACATGACAGATTCTCTTTACTTATCCGTTTTAAACACAACGTATAAACATCTTAATATTCTGCACATCCTGAAATAGTGCTGAAAAGCTGAAGTTAGTGTGACATTGCAATTACATTGTGCATCTAAATCTCATTTTTCAAAGTTTTATTATATACAGCAGATACTCTTAAATGATTTAAACAGCAAAAAACAAACTCTGTGACTCCTTATACATTTTTTATCAATGAAAAAGAGATTTTACCTTATATTTGTCATTATAATTGTTGCCTTTACTTGGACAACAATAGTTTTTAGTTAATAAAATCCTTATTTCTTCTATGCAAAGTGCTTTTACCGTTGTCTCACAATAAAAAAATTATATAAATTATAGAGCAATACAATAAATACAGGAACAATAAATATGTTTAACGGTTTTCTGTAATATATTTTCGTATGTCGTAAGTATTTACCTTATAATTTAAGCTGATGAGTTAGAATTCAAATCATAATCATGTTTAATGTGGGAAATCCCCTTTTTATACGCCAAATCACACATTAACATAGCGTGCAAGAAATAGGTCGCTAACAGTCAAGGTTAATCATGTGTATTACTGTCACCGAGTACATAAATATAGGATAATTTAGAAAGCAAGCACCATTTTGTCCGTCTTGACACCTATTTAGCAATACAAAGCTTGTAAATATCAGTAATTAAAGAAATGTAGCAAAAAACAAAAAGTATGAAAACAATAGATGTTATCATGGTTATTCGTATGCAACAAATTGGCGGAATTTTGTAACACAAAATCGGCAACTGTCAAATTTGCTAGGAATGACATTACGTTCACACAAAGATATCACAGCATAATTCAACGTTCAAAACATCTGTTTTCACAGTTAACATGTAAAATAGTTCCTTATTAGCTAAGCATGTTTTGCATTAGCTGTGACAATTGATATTTTTTTTAATAACTCCTGTAAACATGGTAAATTCAGAAATAAATGTGTGCATTTGTTATTGCAAATCCCCGTTTACTGATAAAAATGCAAGATCTAATTAATGCAATTGCAAAAGTTTTGTGAAGGAAAATCGCTACTGAAATTATGAATGCAAGTTTTTATTAATATTGAAAACCTAATACTGTCACATTTTTCACATTAATAAAAACATTGCAATAATTTGTGAATTTACAGTATTATAAAACCCTGAGAGATTTAATAATAGTTCTTACATCAGTCACATCATAAGAATACTCAAATAGACTCTCATTGTTAACACTTTTCATCTGGTTACAAGTAACACAAGTCCTAACATAAGCTTCACAATCTACAGCCATACTCTTCCAGTGGAACTTATTCAGTCTCTCGTACATTTGTCTGAATCCTAAATGTCTTCCTGTTACAGAACATATAGTACAAAATACTTTAATATACAATACATTATTATTTATAGCATATAAGAATCAAAATTGTAATTTGGGTCATTATCCATAATGTGCCTCAAAGTGACCAACTCAATTATTATGTGTAAACAAAAAATCTCTGTGCAATTATATTCATGATATCGAACTACTTACTATTTTTAATACATGACTCAGCTTAACCATTTGTGCTGTTTTGAAGAGCAAGCAAAAAGGAATAAAGGAGTAAAAACTATGGATTATGCTCACACTTTACAACTCATCACTTTGAAGCTGCTTAACAAATATAAAGTCATTTTCTTCAGTAATGCCTGAGAAAAGTGAAAAATATTTATTGGATGAACAAACTGATGGACAGACAAGTTGCAAAATTTCCCCCAGAGTGGTGTGGTGGTATAAAAATAAACCCATTGATATATATAAGGAAACAGATAAAAAGTACAAAAAGCCCAAAAAAGTGATTTTTGAAAACGGTAATTTTTTCAGAATCTAGTTACCTTTACTAAAGGTGATAGGTTTAAATATGAATATGAACATAAAGTCTGTCTTACCTTTGTTATCAATATGGTAATTTTCCATAATATAATATCTTTCATCAAATCTGAGAGGTATAATCCTACTGGTTGTCTTCCATTTGTGGTACAGCATATCCCCTTCTAAGTAATGACTCTCAGACATCTTTCTTATATTCCTTTTCATGTGATCATTTACAACACCTACTCCATATCTTTTATGTTTAAGATACAATATCACATCGTCATAATATGCATCAACTTCTCCTGAAACCTAAAATGAAGTTTAAATTCTAAATAACCTGACAATTTATGTATGTTGGTTAAAGAGCCCCATTTCATTGACGACATTTGTTAACATAATTCATGTTGTCACATACATGTACTTCCACTTACTTTTTTTATATAACTTACATTTTTATATAACCTACATGTTAACATTTCTTTTACGAATTCAGCATTACTGTTTTTAAAAAATGAATTAAATATTTATCGAATAAAATTAGTTTATTCATATAATAAGATAACACAACATTGTTTAAAAATTTAAGTTACAACAGTTCCAGCTCAAATTAGCTATCTATTATGAAAGTAAACATACATTTATAAACATTTTCAAACTGAAGTTTTCTTCAGAAATTGGCCATGAACTTGAACATATCATCAAGAGATTCAATATATCAATTAATGTATTCTTAACTTCCACAGTAATAACAAATTCATAGCTCAATTTCATATTTACTTTAATAAATCATGTTTAAGAAACCACTGATTTTTCCATTGCCCTCTTTTATGATGGAGAATATTTGTTTTTTAATATTAAATACCATTAATTTATCAGCATTGATATTTTCATCGACTTTTAGAAGTTTTTCATAGCTCTGTATTTCCTCTATACTTAGATCATCACTATTATTACTGCTGTTATCCATTCTGGTTCTATGAGTTTTTGACCATCTTTTCCTTCTTAGTGGGGGATTCACTGAAGTTTCCTGGTCCTCGTTATTTTCTATTTTCGGTTTGACATTTTTGTCGTCTGTGCTTTTATCATCTTCATCACACATCACAGATGTATCAATACCCACATGACTTATCTGAGATGAAGTTGTTGGAGACACTTCTTGACTACTTAAACTAATAGATGGAGGCATGGTTTTAACATGACCTGAAGAAACCTTTTTTCGAGGCATATTCATATATGGACCTTTAAATGCATCAGAATCCTGAGAAACATTATCATCACCACAATATCCTTTGTAAACAGTCATTAATGATTTTAGGGTTTGTAACTTTTTGTCAATAGGAATATATCCATCACTTGTTTGAAGATATTCTGCTGTGGGTTGATGTGTCAGTAGAGTTGGAAGATTTAATTCTCTACAAATTCAAAATAGATAATTATTCAATTCAACAATAATTTAGCATGTTCTAATGAAATTATTGTGGCTATTTAGTGATATCAATTCCATGAAATGGTTTTTGTCACTTGTAATTTGATTTGAATGATTGATTGCTGGTGTTTAACAGCAATTTCAGCACTCTTTGTTTGCCTTATTGTTGCAGCCAGTTTTTATAGGTGACTGAAACCAGAGTACCCAGGCAAGAGACTATCATGACCTTTGGCAGGAAACCAGAGTACCCAGGCAAGAGACTATCATGACCTTCGGCAGGAAAACTGGGAATTTTAGTCAATTAAAGTAGGAGTCAAGCACACCTGCTAGGAGTAGGTTTTAAACTCACAACCTCAGTGTTGACAGGCTAGTGATAACTGTAAATGAACTTTTTAGATCACTTGGTCACAGCCAAACCCTGACTTATAATTTGATATCCAATTATAAACTATAGTAAAAAAGTTAGTATTTTTTACCAATGTATTTTTGAGTCATAAATTTCTCTTAAAGATGATGTTACAATGTATGAACTTAATTTTAAAATATTTTAACAAAGAAAATGTTCTTCATCATGTTCATATATGTCTATATCATTTTACATCTTTATATAAAATTAAAGTCTGTGAATCTAATTTGGAGTTATGCATTCATCATCACATTTGATGTAATTTTCAATTACTAACAAGTTGATAGCAAACTTGGAAAAAAGAATGTTTACAAATGGTAACAATTATAATGTAAAATGAAATTTACATTCATGATTTACTGCTTTGTATAAAAGGTTGGCAGGTGTCCCTTAAGTAACAATACAGCAAAGCCTTTTAGTATATTACTGATGTCCAAATAATTTTTTTAATATCCCCTTACCTGCTGTATGTCAGATAAGCTGGAGAGTATTCAGTGTTTCTTCCACGAGATATTCTGTGTGGCAGTAGAGCAAAGGGCAGACAATTTGTCCAGTCAGAATTATTGGCAACAAACTGATTCATGGTTTCTTCTATTTCATGCCATGCTTCAGCTGAAAGTAAGAGAGTTATTGTGAAAAGATAAAAACTCTTAAATAAAAATTTCAATTCATTTTATCACATCAAAAACTAGAACATATTTTAATGTTCCTTTGAATGTCAGAGAAATGAAACTTCTTCTTTATTAACATTACCTGTCTAGTAGAAGTACATCTGCTTCAAACAAAAATTTTCTCCCGAACACCTGTTCTTATACAGTGTCTGTATACTTGAAGATGGACCATCATCCAAACATCTGTGATGTGATGGATGAAGGTCATTATATGAGGAAGCCAAGGGCTTCCGAGGGTTAATAGTGAACCTTTTATTATGTGCCAGCCACACGCCTATTTTACAGTTGAGTGATTTTTTGTATGTCCAGGTAGTATATAAGGCCAGGTGACCTGAGTAGTATCCTCTTTTATTTTGAGGCAAACAGTAAAATCTCCAGTGTAAATGGGTAGTAACATGACCAGTATTTGCATTTATATCAAACCTCATCGGGAATGGGTTTTCACTAGGGAGGGTACTATTAACCCTCGGAAGCCCTTGGCTTCCTCATATAATGACCTTCATCCATCACATCACAGATGTTTGGATGATGGTCCATTATATATCATAACCCGGGCTTGACTCGGGTTAATAGTGAACTCTTTACAGCCAAAAATGCAAATACCAACAAGAACAACAAGAACATCAATCACCATAACCAAACAATTGGTCTCTCATACTTTAACAAGTATCTATGTATGAGCCTAAATCATATCAAAGTATTTAACTGCAGATAAAAAGAAAATTCATCTGTCTCCATACATGTATATCACTTGTACGAAAGAGAATACACAATCACCAATATGTCTAACTTCTATCTTTTTATTCCATGTATTAGATGTTTCTGTTTTCATACCAAAATCATAAACAGTCTCTATTGTCTATTAATACCAAATATAAAACATCCTCTAGTAGAAAACCTAACTACCACTCTACATAATATGTACATGTAGTAGATCATAAATTATCACATTTTGTCTCAATAACATTACTCCAAAACTACACAGAATTGCAATGACTATCATGAAATAATAGAATATTTCTTTGTTTTGTGGAATAAAGACATAAGCTTCATAATAACTTTTATTATGTTCAAAAACAAAAATCTGTTACAATCTTCAGAAAACAATTAATACTCTATAAAGTTCACTTTAAAATGCCTCTCACATGTAACAAATATAACAAAATAACACTGTTGTTTTCTCATTATTCTTAAATTATCACATTTTCTCTATGCTTCTTCTCAAACGTTCTCGAAATTTAATGCTATTGACTAAAACTGTTCGATTCAACTCCAAATGTCAGCAAACTCCTGTTGCAAAAAACCAAATGGAATGTCCAAAAACCATTCATCTCGCAGAAATGCTAGATACATCATAACATGTACGTAGAAAAACCATAGCTGATCCTCCTGGTCCACCATACAGTTCCTGTAAACCACTAGCTATAAATAAGAATTAAATACTGTTTCAGTATATGATGGCAATGGAGTTTCAATATCTTTAAAATAAAACTTTTGAAAAGTGTAGGCTGACCTCCAGTTAGCAGTTTTTAATATATCATTCAGTGAAATTCCAGCTTGTTTAGCAGCTGAAGTTGAAGCACTACGATATGAGTGTGCCTTAAATTTGTTTATATCAATTCCTGCATTACCTAACACTATTTTCAACCAACGAGCAATATTTGAAGTTGTAACACGTTTGAATGTTCTAAAAGAAATGAATAAATTTTTACTTTTTCGAACATCCTTTGTCCGTAAAATATAATGTTTAATACATCTAACAGGACAAATATCCTGTTTTTGATATTTATGTATGATAACATCCAAATTAGATTTGTTTGGTTTAGTTGTTTTTAGTAAAACTGGTATCTTAAAAATCAAAGAATTGTCTGTTACAGATACAAATCTCAGATCTAAATTAACAAGTGTTTGTGATCTTTGAGCTGATGACAATGCAAATAAAGCAATGCATTTCAGAGTTAACATTTTTAGAGATAAATTCTCATTTGGATATAATTGTGATAAGTACTTCAAAACTGTACCAACATTCCATGTAAATGTATATCTAGGTAAAGACGGCCTTAAATTAAAAATGCCTTTCATAAATCTAGTTATGTGTTTATCTTTTGCTAATTCAGCCATACCCATTAATGTCAGAGTCTGACAAATAGCTGATTTATGAGAATTAATACAGCTGTAAGATTTTTTATTTTCATACAAAAAAGATAGATAATTCAAAATTTGTATCACAGATGGAGAAGTGGAATTAATTTGTTCTTTACTATACCACAAAATCCACTTCCTCCAAGCATATTCATACTGTTTATTGGTTGAATCTCTCCATGATTCGGAGAGAATTCTAACAGCTCTTTTTGAAAAGCCTTTATCAATGAGATATTGCCGGATACAATACAAGCGATAAGGAATAATCTTCGTTTGTTCATTGAATGTCTTTGACCATTGTGAGCCAAAGTTAATAGATCTGACCAATTTGGTAATTTTAGTGGAGTAGAAATTAATAATTCTAATAATTTTGGAAACCATGTTTGTGTGGTCCAAACAGGAGCTATAATTAATGCCTTCCTTACCTTGTCCTCTTCTATTTTCTGTAGGACTCTTGGCAACTGACTGAAAGGAGCAAAAATATATTGTAATAAATTACTCCAAGAGAGAGAAAATGCATCTGAAGCATAAGCTTCTGGATCAGGAAACCAACTAACATACTTTGGCAGTTGTTTGTTTAAACGAGACGCAAACAAATCAATCTCTGGGTTAAATAAACTTAAAGTCACTTTTTCAAAAACTGAACTATTTAGTTTCCACTCTGAAGAATCATTAAATTGTCTAGATAAATTATCTGGTTGTATATTTTGTTTTCCTGGGATATGTACCGCAGATATAAATACTTTTCTTTCAGTACTCCAAAACCAAATTTCTTTTGCAAGTTTTAAAAGTGATAATATTGATCCCCCTTGATTATTGATGTATGCAACCGCTACTGCGCTGTCTGTTCTAACACAAATATGACAATCTTTAACAGATCTACAAAGAGCCTGCAATGCCAAAATTATTGCTTTTAATTCTAACACATTAATATGATTCTGACATTCATCTATATTCCATCTACCTTGGGTACAATCTTTCTCAAATACTGCACCCCAACCTATCAACGACGCATCAGTTTGTAAATAAACTTTTGGAGGCTCTTGTCGAATTGGACAACCATTTTCTTTTTTAATATTTTGAATCCACCATAAAATCTCATTTTTACTCTCCACCGACAAAGACATATGAGCATTAAAATTTTTAAAAGATTTTTGTAAAGCTTTTGTTTTGTCAATGTCCAAATATCTATGCTGTAAATGTGCAAGTGTAATTGCATGATAAGATGAAGAATATAACCCAATTAATTGGGCAACCGTACGAATTTGTGTAATCTTCCTTTCAAACACTTTGTATGAAATTTCTATAATTTTTTGTATTTTATCTTCTGGTAAAAATACCTTGAACAAAACTGAATCAATAATGAATCCCAGAAACATTGTTCTTTGTGAAGGTATAAAATTTGATTTCTCTATATTTATTGAAAAACCTAGTGATTCTATTAAATCATTTACAAAATGTGTGTTTCTTTTTGCTTGTTCGAAACAAAATGCTTGTAATAGGGAATCATCAATATAAAAGAAAGAACTAATGCCTAACTGTCTCACATGTGAAAATACCACTTTCATGATTTTTGTAAATATTCTTGGAGCCGAAGCTATTCCGAATGGGAGACATTCAAAATTATATAATTTGTTATTCCACATAAATTTCAAATACTTTTTACTGTCTTCGTGTATCGCTACAGACCAATATGCCTCGGACAAATCCAGGCTTGTAAAAAATGCATTTCTAGAGATGCTTTTTAAAATAACTTCAAGAGTTTCTTGTTTAAAATGATAATACTGAATATAACTGTTTAATTTTTTCAGGTTAATAACTGGTCTAAATGTTCCATTTTTCTTTTTTACAAGAAAGAGATTTGAAATAAATTCACCTTTCTCATGGTGTGAAATTTTAATTGCTCCCTTTTTTAACATATCAGATACCTCTGTATCAACTAGTCTTTCCTCATTTTTATTAAATTTTATAGGTCTTGGAATTATTTTCTGAACTGGTATCTCATCAAATTCTATTTTGTAACCAGTAATTGTTTCTAATACCCAACTATCTGATGTTAATTTTTTCCAATTTCTAATATGATATTTTAATTTACCAATGTTTAAGCCAACTTTTTCAACATGTTTACATGTAATACCAACCTTCAATTTTTTCTTCTGTATTGAGAATTCATCATGGGTTGCCTGTATGACCCTCTTGGGTAGCGGCTCTGCCCTCTGAAATTGCCTCTTGGGTTTGACATACCAAACCGGTACCCTCGCCGATAGGATCGGCCTCTGTAGTTTTTTGAACTGAAAGTTTTGTTTATCTTTTGTGCATCATTAATCTCCCGAAGTCTTTTACTAATATCATCTCCAAAGAGTTTTTCACCCACGACCTCATTTCTGTTACACAATTGATGGAATTTACGTTCAATATGAGGCTTCAAATTCATTCTCCTTTTAATAGATAGCTCAAAATGCAAATTACACTGTATAGAAATAGCTCTTGAAATTAACTCTCTCATTGTCTTAATACAAGGATTTTTCCCTCGTAATAATTCCGCCACCTTAATCAAAGGGACCATGCCTGCCCCTGTTAGCTTTTGAATATTCTGAGAAATCAAATCCTCAGTCTTAGCTCTACGGGCTAAAAATTGCCAAATTTCTGGGTTGACAGGTGGTGGTACTAAAGCTTTACAATTGCTAGGTATCTTGCTATCCTTAGTCAAAGATGTAACATCCGACTTTTTCTTACAAATTTTTTCTATGACTGATGCTATCGAAGGGCTGACCTCAGAATCAAACCGTTCATCGTCCTCAAAAATTTTTGGCATTTCATAATCAAACTCCTCGTCTTCACTTTCAACGACAAGTTGTGTGGGATCAACATTACTCTCATGTTCAGACAAATCATCAGTTTCAAACAAATTGAAAACATTTTGGTCATTTTCGACCTCATTAATGTCATTATCTTCAAGTTCCTGTATAAAACTATGGGAGTCACTACTTGGACCTGCAGTACCACTACTATTGACATTTATTGCAGACACAATATTACTAGATAAGTCAGCAAATAATTGTTTCAGTAACTCATTTTGCTCGGCTTGAGCTTGTTTACTTTTAGAAGTTTTTCTGGGAGCCTTTGGCTTACTACAGCTAGCGGACGGTTCGTCCTGCGTAATTTGAATACTTCTTTTCAAAGGTGCTTTGCCTTTCTTATTTTTGCCTGGACCTTTTCCAGGTCCTTTTTCTGTAGGCACAACCACTGTTTTCTTATTAGTTTTTACGTTTGTACTCACAGTTTGTGAAATAGAATCTATATCCGGTTTATCTAAAACCTGAATGCACTCCGGTGTATTTGAAGCGAGATTCACACTTATATTTTCAGAAAACCCGGAGAAACTTGCGTCAAACTCATCCTCGGAAGCAAAAAGCTTCATAATCTCCTCATAGTTTCTTTCATCTTCAGATTCTGAAGAAGATGGTCTACGAGACCTTGCCATTTGAAAATCTATAGTATAGACACGTGTATCGATCAAACAGGGTCTGCTTGATACGTACTTAAATGCGTGCGGCCTTGAAATAAAAGAGGATACTACTCAGGTCACCTGGCCTTATATACTACCTGGACATACAAAAAATCACTCAACTGTAAAATAGGCGTGTGGCTGGCACATAATAAAAGGTTCACTATTAACCCGAGTCAAGCCCGGGTTATGATATATAATATGTCTATGACCAAGATACATGTTTCCAATCCACTCTGTTCCAATACTAAAATTCTTCTGACCCATGCGGTATCTTAATAGGTGCATACATACCCGATGTTTGAATTCTCTTTTTCTTATATTCAACCTATCTCACTGACTCTACATTACTATTTTGTTACCTGTTTGTGGAGAGGCTCTGTGCAGTATCTTTATATCTATGTCAGAAGCTATAAGAATATCTGTCCTAGGTAACATCAAAATATTTGTATCAGTTTGATCAGCTCCCATTAACAATTTGTTCATCACTCCAAATCTGTTCACAAATAAAATGAGATGCTTTAACTTTCTTTTGAATTGTTTTACCTTTTCTCACTAGGGCTTTTTAAAGCTGACTATACCTTATGGGTGTTGCTCAACATAAACAATAACATTTTGCCTTTTTTAGCCCCTATATTCTATCTAAATTAACGGTAGCCATATTTATTGTCTAGGAGAATAATTCAATGTAATATTGATACTTAACACTTTAAAGGTTATTGCAGAGGAAAATTTTCTTAAGATTTTTTAAACGGATTGAAAATGTAAAGTTGTCAAACAAGCAATAAAATTTTAATGATAGGCCATCATGGCAAAAGCCAACACTAGCTCATTCATCCATACAAGCTAAAATATAATTTCCTTTTGTTCTCATCACTTCATTTAATATTTTGTTTAAGTCTCTTACCTACATATCAGATTGATCAGAACATGTGTTACAACAGTGGAGGACATTGTTTCCACAATAGCTGCCTCTGGCCATAAGGAAAATACATCCATAAATACCATAACATGTTTCTTTCTTCCATTACAAAGATATGGTCCTAACATCTTTACTTCAACCTATATAATTAATTAAATAATAAACTATAAAAAAAAAAAAACTTTTTATATTTTTTTTTCATTCACTTTTCAACAATCTCCTTACACTTCAAGTTCAAATAAGTTTATTAAAGGTAAACAAAATGTAAAATCTGTTCAATGAAATATTAAATTATTCTATTTTCAATCACTAATAAATTACAAAATCTTTAATACAATTGGATGTTCTCGTTTTCTGTACATTATCTGAAGAAGATTTCTGTCTTATTTCAAACAACTTCAACATATTCTGATTTTCAAATTCATTGAATTTTCAGTCGTATTTTTTTGTTTTTTTTATGATCTAGGTGCTGTCATATGGATGGGTATCCATCTAGAGAATCACTTTTTTATAAACTGCATTTTTTCTAGATCATCCTCATGTTCATACACAATTTTGTATTTGTCACCTACAATTTTTTGCTATAAATTTCGAATAAAACCATGTTTTTCAAAGAAAATATATCATTTTTGATTTCATTTTTATTAACTTGGTACCAATTATTCAGAGTTTCCACAGATCTAGACATTTTTGTGTCTTTCAACACATGATTTGTAAAACTCCAATTACAAATGCCTTCAAAACATTTTTTTGAAAAATTATATGTTATTTTATGAAATGCTACAAATTGTGGGTGATGAATACTTTTTGGATAACATTGTAAAAGAGAGGGGAGAAGAAACTAAAGGGACATTCAAACTCATAAGTCGAAAAAAAACTGACAACGTCATGGCGAAAAAATTATAAAAAAACAAAAGATAAACAACAGTACACAAAACACAACACAGAAAACTAAAGACTGACGACACAAACCCCACTGAAAACTGGGGGATGATCTCAGGTGCTCCAGAAGGGTTAGCAAATCCTGCTCAATATGTGGCACCCGTCGTGTTGCTCATGTAAGTACAAACCAGGTGATAAGTCTAATTCAGTAGGTCACATTTGAGGAAAAGAGAACAGGATTATAGTTATGACAATTGGAACATATCTGTCGTCATCTGTGAAACAGATATTCACTATATAAAAGAATCAAAATGATAAAGGGTAATTATGGACATAAATATTTAAATTCTTTTTTAAGTTACAGCATTTCATACAAATTTGTGTAAAAGATTAAAAAAAATTGTAAAGTGTTCTGCGAAACCTTGTGAGTGCCTTTTTGTCATAAAAAGTTACTGTACAAGTTTCATAAAACTCCATAAAAGATTAGACAAAGTTTTTGATGTCTTAAACAATTCAAACCACAGACTGAACCAAAATGTTGACAACATTGGCTGATCATTGTAGGATCCCTATGTCTCGCTTTTGTGACAATATGTTGCAGACTCAACAAAAACATTCTTGTACATTCGAAAGAACATCCTGGTTTTTAAAAACTGACAAATTAGGTCACTTTTACGTACAATATCCCAGAAATGCTGAGATTGTAATGACTGTTGTTCAGATGATGTCCATATATCACTTAGTGATACACCAGATAAATCTTCAGCTTCCATTACTTCTTCATCATCCTGATCATCCTCGATCTTTACAGCAACATATCCTTCTGTTTGTATATTTTCTTCCATGAGTTTCTTCTTTGTAACTTGTGCCTCTACCTTTTGATGGCATTCTTTGCATGCTCTGAGGAATTCTCGAATCTTGATACATATTCCCTGCCAGTAATATTTTTCTGTTATCAAGGTGAGTAATTTCTCACGACCAATGTGGACACCTAAAAATGGAAATAAAAAAATCTTCATTTAATATAAAAGTAGCAATGTACATGTATGAAATGTGCAGAAAATTCATCACATTAACATTTGATGATACAATTTGTAACAATTTAAACAGTGGATCAAACTTCTTGTTAACGTTGCAATTCATAAATGTTGGTTAAATGTATGTCTTTTGTATACACCTTATCGCTGTTTAGTCCAATCCGGGAAAAACAGTTACTTAGACAACTTCCTGTTGAGGTCAAGCTGAACAAAACAAAGGTCATCAGCAATGAGCTGAGGGAGGAAAAAGTTTGGAAAGTGGACATTTTAGAATTTTGATAGTTTAAGAAGCAATTTTTGAAAGACAAATAAAAGTCATTGAAAATGCTTTGTTTGATGTGTTTACGATGGTTTAAACATGTCTCTATGAAAAGACAATACATTTTTTGAACAAGGTCCAAGATAAGTTCAACTGGTTTGAAAAGTTGTTTGATTGTAGAACTTATCCAGATAGGAATTAATAGCTATAAGATGTATTATGTTGCATTGGCAAAAAATAATATAGTTCCTGTCATGCCTTAAAACTTTACCAGGTGAACAAGCATGTCTGTACTCAAGAGTAAATTTTTTGGTGTTAACATGTATGCACAGCCATATTTTTCCACTCTTTCTGATGAGCCTAAACAATCCAAAAGACCTCTGCTGAGTCACTTAACTCAAGTGCACCCTACAAGATTTACTTGAATTTGGTTCATATTTGTACGATTTAAGGTTTATGACCCCTTCTGTAAGTCTGTTTATTACGAAATTTTCAAAGTGCTATAATATCAAAACAGAAAAAATACAGAATTAAAGTTATGTGCCATTTAGTAAAATTGAGAATGGAAATCATGGAAATGGGGAATATGTCAAAGCAACAACAACGCGACGAAAGAGCAGATAACAGCCGAAGGCCACCAATGGGTCTTCAACGCAGCGAGAAAATCCCGCACTCATAGGTGGGTCTCAGCTGGCCCCTAAATAAAAATGTGTACTAGTTCAGTGAAAATGGACACCATACTAAACTCCAAAACATATAACTGAACTAAAATTAAAAAACATACAAGACTAGCAAAAGCACATATATCAATTGGAAAAGTCGTTCAAAGCAATACTATTTATATGTTCCATTGCATTTAATAGAAAATGGGGGATTTTGTGGCAAATAAAGCCAAGATTTTTGCAAAAGATCCACACTTTATTACATAGATTTTCGCTATAAAATTTTAAACATAGATTACTCACTCGTTTGACCATGCTGTGCTAGGGTTTATTGTTTACAAAAAGTCCTAAGCAATCTTTACAATCCAAAAAACCTTGTGCTGAGTTTCTAAAGTCAAGCACACCCTAGAGGGTGTACTTGAATAGGTCCATATTTATACTTGTTTTAACCATTATCTTTATTTATAAACTTCTTTAAGGGAAATCATTGCTAGCACTGCATACAATAATCCTTTTTCTATTAAGTACCCAATTGTCAAATATTAGAGTAAAAAGGTAAAGGCTGTGGATTTTTTAGTAAAATTTTCATATGTTTATATTAGCATTGAAACAACAAAAGGATATATAATCCTTAACTTATTAATACATCATCATTTTTAGGAAACCATTGCTAGCATTGCATGCAGTAATTTGCTATATATTAATTACTGAATTGTCAAATTTAAGAGCCCAAAGAGGGAAGGTTGAGGATTTTCTAGAAAATTTCCATATGCTTATTATTGAATCAACAACAAACTAGAGGCTCTATAAAGCCTGTGTCGCTCACCTAGGTCTAAGTGCATCTTCAACAATGGATACTCTCAATCTTTATTAAAGAGAACAACCTCAATAAGGGGTCATCAAACAATTTAAATCATGTTGAATTATTTGTAGATCTTGTCTACTCATGTTTTATCACTTAATTTTGCTCTTCTAGTCTTTATCAAACTATCTATTAACTTTATCATTATGTTATTAACAAATGGATCTTCATTTGACATCAACCATACACATTTTGATTGGTCATTTAGAATTTTAAAATTAGTAAATTTAGAGGATAATTCTAAAATGAAACTGGACCTCTCAGTTTTAAGTGATGGACATTGAAGAAGAAAATGAATTTCATCCTCAACAATGTCATTATTACATAATTTACAAAATCTTTTGTCTGGGGGTATTCCTTTATGTCTTCCCTTTTCTATATCAAGTTCATGGGCACTGATTCTAAATTTGGTCAATAACTCCAATAAAGGGTCATAAGACGATTTCAACTATGTCAACTTATTTGTAGAACTTATCTTTTGCTATATAAAGTTTCACTCTATCATAATAATCTATTATAATTTTCAAGATAATAGGCAAAAATTTTAAAAGTTGGTAAAATTCGTCATTTCAGGGCAATAAATAACTCCTATAAAAAGTCGTCTGACAGTTTGGAAGTAAATGGACAATAGGTAGATCTTATCATTCAGAACATTTCTGCCCTTGTCAGATTTTCTCTATTTATAGTGGTTTTCAAGATAAAAGACTTGTATTTTACCCCTATGTTTTATTTTTAGCCATGTCGGCCATCTTGGTTGGCAGGCGGAATCATGGGACACATTTTTTTAAACTAGATTAGTAGATACCCTAATGATGATTGTGGCCAAGTTTGGTTAATTTGGAACAGTAGTTTCAGAGAAGAAGATTTTTGTAAAAGTTAACGATGACGACGGATGCCAAGTCACTGATAAGAAAAGCTCATAATAATAATAATATTGGCCCTTCGGACCAGGGCAGGTGAGCTAAAGAGGTATGGTCAGATCATATGTTTTCGTACGTCATATGAATTCAATTCGTACTATGCATTCTTTTTCAATGGAAATTGTGACGTCACAATGCATTCTTAATAGCACGAAAACCCATGAGACGAGGATACTTTATCCTATTAAAAGTTCCACCCAAAAAATGCTCTAATTACCTTTAGAATTTATATGAAATTCGTCAAAAGCTCTTTGCTGATCTTCAATTTTATATATTACTTCCTTTGTGTGTTGTGTATTTTCTTCGTCTGAATATGTGTATGTGAAATAAAGTTTATCTCCACTAGGAAGCTGTTCCAGGCGGAACGACTTTGCACGCTTCCGGATATTTCGTTTTTCTCGATCAGAGTTGACTTCTGGGGGATATGCCTCATACTTCAAATAATGAATCAAACTATCATAATTCAAACTGCTCTTAGCAGCTCTTCTTTTCTTCGGGGGCATGGGTATAATAAGTGGTATTTATCGTTCACTTTTCATTCTGGCCACACCGCCATTTGCAATTCTGTTTACTGGTGCAATGGTAAATTTTCAAACAAATGTTATGTTGTTTTTTTAAGAAAAATTCACAATATTGTAAAGTTCTAAGTTTTCATATGAAGTAAAACTTAGAAGTCTAAACTGATTTTCAATATTTAAATTATATTCACAATTTCTACTTTCAAATATTAAAGAAATCAGTCAAACAAACGTTTAATTTTCTCCCACTTCACCGTGATAACAAAAGGGACAAAACCTTGCAAAACACCGGCAAAATGGAAAAAAATAAGAAGCAGACAAAAAAATCTCCCTATCAAAAATTACATCTGGAACACGTTTTCAGCTATCTTCAAACCAATGAGTATCCTTCAGATGATCGTTACACCAACCGAATACACAGATCTAACCTTAGACAAAGAGCTTTAGATTTTATCATTGAAAATGGAAAACTTTACTTACAGTATTATTCTGCTCCCCTTGCATTGGCTTGTGATAATAATAGTGATACTGACCGTCAGAAAAGTGAGAAAAAAATACTTAACAGACTGGTTCTGTTTTCCAACGAGGATAAGTTGCAGGCCTTCTATGAATGTCATATAAGCAAAGAAGGTAAAAAATGAAATAGACCATTATTGAAGAGGTACTGGCTATGATTACCCGCAAAAAGTAACAATAAGAATAATTTGGCTCCAAATCAGAAAATTGCTCCTGACACAAGATCTCAAAAGGGATTTAATAGATGTAGTGATGCTTCAAGTTTTCACATATTTATGACAATTGATATAAGCTGTGTTATAATTTCTACCACTAGCAATTTAATACATGTAAGTCCCGAAAATAAAATGTAGATGGTTTACAGTCATGATAGTATATAAATCATATTTATTCTTTACAGGAATATATATATTGACGGGACTTAACACTACCATGACTACCTAATTATAGCTGATTTTATCGTCGGGTCATGGACATAGTTAATTAATGACATGATATGATATGGAAACGGACATGTGTAAAATACATACTCGCTATTATCTTAATAATTTCTGATAATATCAATAAAATGTCATTCAAACTTAGTAATAAGTGATGCCAGTGTATTGAACTTGTAATCTGTCACTTCAAATTTGTCATAGTCGCATTCATTTCATCACAGAAGGGTATACAGAATGCAAACGGGGTAATAAAAAAATGGTGCAGATGGCATTCCCAATAACCGTGAGTTTCACAAACCATTATAAAACACTTCACATCAAATAAATCACACTTATATTGGTCATTTTATATGACAAAATATATCTACTTTACAATAAAACTTATCAATTCATTGTATTTGTTGAACGTTTGAAATTATGTGGTTATAATTTATTGAGCAGTTCAATCAGATGCTTCCAAAATCCATAAATCTCGCGAAGTCTCGTAAAGTTCGAGATTTTATCAATTTTATACTGAAAAGCCTATCAGATTCATTTCCCGTTAGATATACTGTTCCAACATGTCCAAGTTCTTTAATATTATAAAAATGTATAATTACTCTAATATAAGATTTTGTTTAAGTACTAAGTACTTAAAGAAAATGGCTTAAAATAGAACAAAGGGGTAAAATGCAAGTTTTGTCTATTAAATTATCTTGAAAACTGCTACCAATAGAGAAAATATGAAGGGGACAGAAATCTTCAGAATGATGAGATCTACCTATTGTTCTTTTCATCAAAACTGTCAGACAACATCTTGTAGGAGTTATTGCTCTTAAATGTCCATTTAACATTTTTTTTGTATTTTTGCCTTTTATCTTGAAAAGTTCAAAACTTTAAAAAGGTAGAGAGAAAAATAGTCAGTTGACCTTTTATAGGAGTTATTGCCCTTTAAAAATGATTTCCCCCCAATTTGAACATATTATGCAAAAACTACAATAAATCAAGATAACTAAGAAGCAAAAATAATGAACAAAACAAGATCTACAAATGAGTCAACTCTGTCAAAATTATAAGTTAATTCCTTATAACATGTATAAAGAGTTATTGCCCTTAAATGACAATGTTTACCCTGTTTTATGTGTTGGGCATAAACTATAGAAGATAAAGAGAAACAGTAAACAGCAAAAAATGATCAGCTAGACAAGATCTGCAAATAGATCAATAAAGCTAAAACTGAAAATCCATTTCTTAAAAAAGTTATTGCCCTTAAACATGTTGAATGACTGTTTATACACTTTCTTTTGTATTATTGGCAAACATTATAGTAGAAAGAGGGAAAATGAAAACAGAAAATATGTTAAGCAAAACAAGATCAAAGAACCAAAAGGAACTTTTGAAAGTGAAACAGCCTGGTTCCCAATTTAGATTTGCCAAAGTTTCACCTAAGCAATTCAACTAAGTTTCCATCACCTGGTTGTTTTATAAACAGTTCTTTGTATTTATAAAGTATTGACCATTCCAAAAAACTTACAGACAAATGTTAAAGGTCTCCCGTGGTCACCTTCATGCAAATATTATGAAGAGGCATGATTTATAACATACTTTTTATTAAATTGTCCAAAGATAAATTGATAAATTGCTTAAGGACCACTCTGAGGAGCCAAAAATTTCTAGAATTAAACTTTTTTTCTTAACCTCATTTTTGGGTTTATATGACTGTTAGAAAGTAATTGATGCAGAAAAACCATATGGTGGTGCACTTCTTTTTTAGCTATGGCCATTTGAAAGTACCCCATTTTTTATGATTCCCATTTTTCATCAATTGTTACCCAATTTTGGGGTATTATGATTATCATGAAAAAATCAGTTTCACAATTCAACTTTTTTTCATACTTTCACTAAAGATGAAGTGGACCAATCTGAATAAATTTAACTTAAAAAAAATATAAGTTGATGTTAATATTAGAAAGTTTTATAAAATTTTGTTGCTTTTTTGGGTCAAATTGACCATGCTGTCAATTTTGTAAATTTGGGATTTTTCTCTTCTTTTTTTTTTTTAGAACAAAAAGCATATTATTTCAACTTCTTTGTTAAAAATGATTGAAAAATAACATATCTAAGAATTTTGAAAAGAAAAAAATTGATATAGGATGTAGATATTTTTGGTAAAAATTTCTTTATAACCCTCACCCATTTTCTCAACATTTTGGCTGACGACACTGACCGGATTGGTTATAAAATTTGAAAATTTTATTACTCCAAAACTACTTATTGTAAGTACACAATTTTTTCACAGAGTTTAGTATGATTAAAATGTTTTTAAATTCATTAATATTTTCCACTTGTATCACATTTTTTGGAGAATAATTCTCAAACGTAGAATACATCCGTAAAAGTTAAAGGAATCAAACTTCTTCAGGCAAAGATGACCTTGGATGAATTAGGCTATTCTATTTTGGTCTTGTTTTAGTTTTGTGGTTTCTGACCTAGTTTTTAAGTTTTTTGGGTAAATAAAAGTGATATGGACTCACAAAATCTTTTAGGGGTTATTTTCATTCATGAAGCAGAGACATAATGTAATATTGATGAATATTTTGTAGGTCAACATCATGGTAAAAACAGAACTGTAGCACTGTGTAGAGATAAATATTATTTTCTGTGTATGATTGAAATGGTCAAGATGTTGATCAGGAACTGTCCCATCTGTAGTTCAAGATTAGATACAACTAACATTGTTGCAAAGGAGCATGAAAATGACATGGACATATTAGATATGTTATATGGTGAAAAACATGGCAACCATGTATTACAAGAAAGGGAAAACTTGTGTAGTCATGGAAACAGTGATTGTATAATTGAATGCTTTAAAACAAGCACATTCATCGATGTTGATCATATTGAAAATATCAATGTCATCGGCCAATCGTTGGAATTGTCTGATATTTGTCATAACGAAATAAAAACTGTGCATGAAACAAACCAAGATAGCACTACCAAGCAAAATTCAGCTGATGAGAAGAGTTGTATGTTGAAAAATGAGGAGAAGGAGAAAAAAGAAGAGTGTGAAAACACAGATAAATATGTAGTAGAAATGTATAACCTGGAATCTGATGTTGAACCTGATTATTTTTGGCATTCTGTAAGATTATTTAACATTACACTCTAGTTATACTGTGGCCTGCCTGTTTCAGAAATAATCATCTTGGAATTTTGTAGATTTTTGCATATTTGGATTTTTATGAAATTTCGCATACATTTAGAACTCATATTGTTGTTGTCTTTTTATAGTTTCATTGAAAAATAGTTGAATGAAGCATTTATACATCCAGAGATACAATTAATTAAAAATTTGTGAAACAACTATGAGTATGTAGAATGTACATAAAAAGTGCATTTTCACTTTGAATTGCCAGTTCTCAAAACTGTGTCCATAGAGTTTTGTTTAAAAATAATATCTTGTGTAGAAATTCCAAAAGGGAACATATTTTACATTATTATGAATATTGTAGTATTTAATTATAAACCAATTTTAGATGTTTTGGCAACTTGCCATCTTCAGTATTTCTCAATTAACCCTCTAAACTACATGTACATGGTAGACATGTCACTTTTCACAATCATTTTGATGTTATACATTAAGATCCATAGATGCTCTGAAAGGAAATGGTTCCAGAAACATTGTCTTGTTTTGAAATAATGGAATTAATCTTTTTAACATTTTAGTTTTTACAATGTACTACCATCAGAATTGAAAATAAGTGATATTTAACAGAGAATAAAGACTATATTAACAGTAAAATCAATTGAAGTATAATTGAGATTATTTCTGAGTTTTTCAGATTTTGCTCCTTTTTCAGGTAGAATTAAGTGTGCTTGGACCATATGAATTTCAGGGTAGACAGAAGTATTTGATGATATTCTTGGAACTCTATTCGTTGTGGCCAGAGGTAACAATAGTAGATACAATTTCACCAGCTATTATTACCATGGGTTTACTGGACCTTTTATGCAGGTACTGCAATATAGGGTTTGCGTATATGTGTAACTTTAAGGCCACTATATTTAATCATATTAGAACTTAAAATATAAACTAACTTCATTTTACAGCATTATTACAGTAAACAAATATTTATATGTAAGCAGGTGCTCTAGATTTTATAGCCACATAGATATATTTACATCAAAACCTATACTACACATACTTTTTTATTAAAATTTCAAAGTCTAGGAATGATAATTGTTTGATCATGAGCTTCAGAATTACATTTACTGTGTTTAATTACATGGTTTTCTATATGTACGAACCAAGTAAGGATTAAAACAGTTTGTTTCCTGTTATTTTTGGTGATTGTATTTTCTGTGTTGGCTGGGAAGATTTGACTTTAAACTGTTGGATTGTGGTAAATTTGATCATGGACTTTCTCATCCCAGAAAAAAAAATTATATGGAGACTTCAAAGATATTTGTTAATTGATGTTATTTGTCTTTTATCATGATTTTTCAGATACAATGTAATGAAAAGATTATACCTGAGGAAGAGTGCATGTGGTGCATTACAACTCTTTACTCCTGATGTCCAGCTTTTACAGACTGCTAATTTACACATAGATATAGTGAAAATGGATGTCCCTTATTCAGGTAAACAGTAAAAAGAAAATGGAGGTCCCGATTCAGGTAGGCTGTTAAAAGTAAATGAATGTCCATTATTCAGGTAGGCTATAAAAAGTAAATGAATGTCCCTTATTCAGATCAGATGTAAAGTGTAAATGGATACATGTCCCTTATTCAGGTAGACTGTACAAAGAAATAGGATGTCCCTTATTCAGGTAGACTGTACAAAGAAATAAGATGTCCATTATCCATACCTGCCAGCTTTTCAAAATCATCATGGGGGATCTAAAGCATGATAGTGACTAAGGCATCTTTTATACATGCCAGAAGTATTTTAATTTTATATTCAATGTTTTTTGTCTCACCTCAATGAAGTCGTGAAGGTGAGACTTGGGTGTAATTTTTCTGACAGCATCAGAGGCAGCATCAGAAACTTATTAATCCTTGTGAACATACATGAAATATTTGCCACAGGACCTTAAGGGAACATCAATCAATAATTTTTTTAAAGTTCAGGATAATGTCAGTTTAAGGGGAACCACTAATGGTAAGTCAATGGTATTTGGTATGCAGTTGTATAAGCATTGGCACCTCTCATTTACATAGAGATTATTTGTCCCTACACCCTCAGTCATGGTCTATTGACTTTGAAACTATTGCATAGTTAACATGTTAGTGTGTGATTTGGTCAGTTTAGGCTGAACCCCTTATTGTAAGTCAATGATATTAGGTATGAAGTTGCAGTTGCATTAGCATTTGCACATCTCAGTTCCTTGGATTTAATTTGGCTTTTGAACCTTCAGTCATGGTTTATTGACTTTGAATGTTTTGCATATATATACATGACATGTTAAAAGTATTGCAATTTTTATTTCAAGGTTTGTATTTTACCTTTAAAAATTATATACAGGGGAGATATCTTTGTGTCAATACTTTATTAATTAGTATTTGTGTTTATATGTAATTTTCATACCTTTGAATGCCTGATTTAAGGTATTAAATGCATGTAACGAAGGTTTCTAAAGTTGAGGTTAACACCTCTCATCAGGAAAATCCCCCATAAAATGGGACAGTTGGGAGGTCTAATTTTTTAGTTAGGTTGTAAAAAGTAGTAAAAAAGATCTCATCTGAAAAGTTAATGTACTACATTTTGTATATAAGAATTGAAGGATTATCAGTCTTCAGGTATATATCTTTATTTAAATACAGTTTTCCACATACAACTTCATTTGAATATTGGAGAATAATGATAAGACAACATTTAGCTGGAAGTGGAAAATAGACAATATTTTCATTGGTTAATGACTTGCAAAGGTTAACATTAAGTTTCATGCTTATGTCAGTTTCTTAGCTATCTGAAGTGTTAGGCTACCTTTATTTAGACTTGTAAGATTTACATGTTTTTTGCATTACTGTTCACCTGATTTAAAAGTTATTTTTATGATGCAATGTTCAAAATTATGTTTTTTTGATAAATGTAGGAAAATAATATCAAAGAATTTTTATATATTTTCTTGTCTTGATCATTTAACTAGACAACGTATTTCAATGTTATCACTCTTGTTGCTGATTCAAGTTGCCTATTTCTTTTGAGTTATGTTCTTTTTACTAAGAAAATTAAAGAATGAATGCTCATATTTAGATATTTTTGTGATTAGGTGAGAAACAAAAACTGCTACTCTAAAAATTAAATGTGGAAAACATACTATGCTTATAAATCTTATTTCAGAAGAGATTTGGACACTACTGAAGACCCAGGTTTCAAGTTTTATTAAGAACAATTCAGACTGGCCATGCACCTTATCATTTTCCATAATGCCATTTAGAATTAAATATGATGATGGTGTTGATGGAACCTGCACTCTTTTCACCAGGAGAAGGTATATTTTGTTTCTATATTCTAGAAAAATGTGTAATAAGTCTGTATTGAAAAATGAGTTCATTTCAGTCTCATCACTTGGTGTCCATTGTCTATTGTTGTCTGCCTTCCGTTAATTTTTACAAAAATCTTCTCTGAAACTACAGGGCCAATTGGAAGCAAACTTGGCTTATCAATTTTGAAAAAAATGTGTTCGTTGATGCCCCCTGTCAAACAACATGGCTTACATGGCTAAAAATAGAACATATGGGTAAAATGGAAGTTTTGTCTATTATCGATCTTGAAACCACTATAGAGAAAATCTGACAGAGGCAGAAATTTTCAGACTAATGAGATCTATCTACTGTCCATTTATGTGAAAACTGTCAGATGACTTCTTATAGGATCTTATAGGTGTAATTGCCCTAAAATGATGAATTTTACCATTTTTTTTTTCATTTTGCCAAATATCTAGAAAAGTAGAATAGAGAGAGAGAAACTTTGAATAGCAAAAATGATAAGCAAGACATGATCTACAAATTAGTAAAATGACTGAACTCCTTATTTGAGTTAATTCCCTTAATTGACCAACTTTACCAATTTTTTGCATTTTTGCCTATTATCTGATAGATAGAAAAGCAAAAATGATCAGCAAAACAATAAGACAAAAGGCTGAAATTGTCAGTTGATATTCTTAGGAGTTATTGCCCTTAGAAGACTATTTACCAATTTATTGTGTTGTCTATTTTTTTCAAAAACTATACATGTAATAGATAAAGAGAAACTTTGAATAGCAAAATGAACCCACAAGACAAGATCTTCATAAAGGTCAATATTGCTGAAACCATTGGTCAACAGAGAATCTAAACAGTAAAAATGATAAGCAAGCCATGATCAACCAAAAAGAGATTTTGGTCATAAATTATATTCTTGTCTACAATGTTGGAGAGTGGCCATTGTTTAGAGCCTCTAGTTATCTATCAGTTTGGCTTCTCATAGACATACTTCAATCTATGTAATTTTCTGGAACTTGCTAATATTTTTGATGTAAAAAACAAGAGATCAATACATTGTAGTATAAAAATTCCCAACCATACAAGATAAGGTATAAGTTGCAAAAGAATTATTAAAATAGTTTTTACCATTCAGGCTTAAAATCTTCTTTGGCAAGAGAGAATACTGGGCACTTTTATCATTTGATACTCAATTGTCTGAGACTCGACCATTAATTATGTCATAGTTACTACGAAAGAAAATACAAAGGGAAACAGGACATTTTTTCATAAACAAGGATATATATGTTCATCTGAAACACAACTTTTCCATTTCTCTAGGATTACTTATTCATAGCAGGTTTTTAAAGATAGAAAAATTAACAATAATATGGACTGAAACATTATTTGTAACGAGTATATAAAATCATGTATAAATAAAAGGTGTTAGAAACATGTCATTGAGACAGCAAATCCAAAGCTAACAAATACACATGAATGCTTATAAATTAACATTAATATTATTAAATATAATTTCTGTTTTCAGACACAGAAAGAAAACTAAAGATAAAATTCCTAATTTTGACAGCAATCAGCAAAAATTACTAAACTTATATAGATATTGTTCCAGTAAGTCAGTGAAGCTGGGTGACAAAAATGACAAGAACACCACAGATATTACAACTGAGGTGGAAGGTTATTCTGTATCAGAGTATCCTGTCAAACAAGATGTCAACTTGACAGAAAATAATCCTTTAAAATATTTAAGAGACAATCCTGAGGCAACACAAATGGTAAATGATAATGAAATTGTGAAATCTCCATGTAAAATGACAACAAGAAACAAGAGAATTGATTACTGTTCTCTATCATCGGATAAACAGACCACAGATAGTTTAAAGACTAAGAAAAGGAATGTATCTTCTTCTGGTTCTGTTTCAGAAAGTTCAAAAAAGATTAAACTAGTTTCAGGCAAAAGGAAATCGAATCATGAAAATATGAAGTCCAATAACTGCAAGATTGTAGAAAATCAAAAAGAAACATTTGATGACAGCTTAGTTTTGGAACAAAAGTTTTGTAAGGATGAAGATCAGGCAACTTGTAACAAGAAAAGTCCTTCAGAGATTAAAGATACAATGACAGAACATTCTGATAATTCAGAAATAGGAAAGAAGTGTTTGACATATAATGTTCAATCTAAAATTTGTCTTTCCAAAAAGAAAGTAAAGTCAGATATGGTGAAACAACTTGAACATGAGAAAGAGCATGATGGAAACCCCAGGTAATTTTTTTATTGTCTCGCCTTGACGGAGTCAAAAAGCGAGACATATGTATGCTGTTTCCGGCGTCGGCGGCATCAACAATGTATTGGTTTGTGATTAGGTCTAGTTCATGGTGAACCACTAGTGGTAGGTCAATGATATTTGGTATGCAGTTGTATTAGCATTGGCACAAGATTATTTGGCCCCGCCCCCTCAGTCAAGGTCCATTGACTTTGAAACTTTTCATAGTTTACATGTATTAGTTTGTGATTAGGTCAATTTATGGGGAACCACTAGTGGTAGGTCAATGATATTTGGTATGCAGTTGTATAACCATTGGCATATCTCATTTCGATGGAGATTATTTGGCTCCGCCCCCTTAGTCATGGTCTGTAGACTTTGAAAATTTTGCTAAGTTAACATGTATTAGTTTGTGATTAGGTCAGTTCAAGAGGAACCATTAGTGGTAGGCCAATGTTAATTGGTGTTCAGTTGTATAAGCATTAGCACATCTCATTTCCATGGAGAATATTTGGCCCCGCCCCCTCAGTCATGGGCTATTTAATTTGAAACTTTTGCTTAGTTTACATGTATTAGTTTGTGATTAGATCAGTTTAAGATGAACTGCTAATGTTAAGTCAATGCTATTTGGTATGCAAATTTATTGGCATTTGCAAGTATTGTTTCCATGGAGATTATATAGCCCCAGCCCCGATCATGGTTCATTGACTTTGAAACTTTTACATAGTTTACAAGTTAATGTTTGTGTTTAGGTTTGTTTAAAGGGAACGACTTATAATAAGTCAATGGTATTTGGTATGCAGTTGTATTAGCATTGGCACATCTCATTTCATGGAGATTGTTTAGCCATGTACCTTCAGTCATGGTTCATCGACTTTGAATATTTGCATAACTTACATGTTAAAGTATTGCTATTTTAATTTCAACATTTGCATTATCAAAATTACAAAAAGGCGAGACATATCTCTGTGATAACAGTTTATTAGGATTATAAGTTATTTTAAGAAGGGCAGCTTTTCTACTAGTCAATCAATGTCAATAGGTTTTGGTTTTTATTAAAAATTTAAATAATCTCCTAATTTGCATTGTTTCTTAAATAATGGCTTTATCCACAAATTTTACTTTCTAAGGAAATATAAGAACTGTTGTCCAAATCATGACATGGAAAGATCCCCTTGTAAGTTTGACTACATGTATTTGGGCATACAATCTAGACAATACATCGAATATCAGCAAGTGCACTATGACCTATATATACAACTTCAGACAGGATTTTACCCATTAAATCTTTTAATTCTCATCAAAAATTAGTTTTGGTCGAAGAAATTCTGACTACGGTGATGATTTGCAATGATGAGTTGTTCATTAGTGACATGTTTATGGCCCAATTAACACCTTTGATGATCATTAATCGGTTGATCATTCAATTAATTAATGTCATCAATTCTGATTACACGTGTGCAACAATTAAAATGTTTACTTTGCAATTTCCTTCAATTGAGACAATTTGTAAGCATAGATGAATCAGCTTATTTCCGACAGCAATTATTTTATAACAAATTTGATGAATGTTGTCAGTAATGAAAGCAGAACAAGTAAGAGAAAAAAATGAGAACCTTAATTTGCAATGTCCCACAAATCATTATAAAATAACATGATTATTTTCAAGAATCTTTGCTTCAAATGGTATCAAATTCTTCACTCAATTTTTTTTCAGAAAATTAAAATCCATGAATTTAAGAACCCACAAACTTGTAACTTTTGCTCAAACCAAGAAAATCGATACCCATGAATAAAAATACTTTCACAGTATACTGACCAATTGTTACAATGAACCACAATATGTATTATGGTTTACTACAAGTTTACTATCACTTCTGAGCATATGGTTTGTGGTTATAATTGTAATTTTCGACTGGCTCTCAGAATCTTAGGTTTGATATATTTCCCTCTTTGAAAATCTTTGCACTAAATGGTATTTGTTAATTTACAAAGTGTATGTATCGTATGATTTAAGTTGCTACGTAATGAACGTATACCCTACCCCACATTTCTGTTTTATTTATTCTTAATATTAGTGGCGCTTACTGGGGGTATTTTAAACACTTATTTCCCTTGGACAGAAACAATTATTCATAAGACTCAGCATATTGTTCCTAATTTTTGTTTAATTTTTATGTTTGATGCATGGAACAACATTTCTTGTAAAGCTCTATGATATAATATTTGTTCATTTTCCAGGACAGTTGAAGAAATTGAAGATCACACACTGACAAGACACTCAAAGCAGCAAATAAAAGGTGGTAAAGATGGGAAAATCTTTACTGGTAGTAAAGAATCTGTTACAGAAAGGCACAGGACTAATTCCCAAGGTAGCGGAAAAGATTGTAAATCAAAGAAGTTAATGAAAGCTCACAGGAGATCTCTTACTTGTTTGTAAGTATGTTCAAAGTCATTTCAATCCTTTTATGTTTTAAGTCATGACTATTGAATGACTATTGAATGTTAGGTGATATTTTATGTTCAGCAAGGACTGCCAGGTATATGAAATATTTTTCCAGTGAAGGAAAATATATGATTAAGACTCAAGCGAAATTATGGTAGAAATTAGCCTTTGTCATTTATTTAAGACTCAAATGCTACCCTTTGGATGTGAATATGGCTTTCAAGAGAAAAAATTGTGATGGACTTTGCTGAAACATGCATAATTTAGTAGAATAATGATGTTCTATATAAGCCAGTGCATTTACATTTGAACCAATATAATTCTTTAATTCAGTTGACTTTTACAAAGATAACACTGATAACTATGGAAAAAAATAATTGTGGTTAGAGGCCGACAAGCCTCCATTGAGCAATTTTTGAAGACTTGTGCAGATGCTTATTATCTGTGCGTAGTAGATTTCTTTGCTATGTTCTTGAAAACAAAGGTTGAATTCTAATTGAAAAATAGATAGCAAGCAGAAAAAAATATTTGGGGCATATTTTGACTTCCCAATACTACAGAATTTCAGTGGTTTTAAAAGTTCAAAAATACTCTTATATGGAAAATGTTTTGGGAAGGTTAAGGGGAGATTATTCAATACTGCAAAGAACATTAGAATCTCACAAATTAACTTACATTGTATCAGAGACATATATATATATGTGTATATATGTCTCTGATTGTATTTATACCTTTTAATAAAGTTTTACCCCTGACTCAGAGTAATATTTGACATAAATTCAATTTGCATGGTTGTGTTCAATACACACTAAAAGGTATTTCACAAATATTGTTGGAATATCTTGTGTCACTATTATAAACTAACATGCTGTTTTTAGCTGTAAAGCTGAATGGTGTTCCAAAAGGAGATATTCTGTATTTTGCATTAACACATAAATTTCAGGTTTTGTGTTTGTTTTTTAGGAAAATTATTGGAAGAACTTCTTTCAAAGCATAAACCACATGAAAAATTACTACAAGAAAGTTTCAGTTGAAACTGGAAATCAGTTTTATAAAAATTTGACCTGAATATATCCTTTGTTCATTCATGATCAGCATGGCTATTGTTGATTGCCAGAAGAGTCATTTGGATATCTTGGAAGTCTTTTATCTGATCTGACTATATAAATATACATGTATACATTGTTCTACTGTAGGTGTAGCACCTGTGGAAAGACTGTAAAATCATTTTCTCTTAAATCTCACCTACAGATGCATTCTGACCCCAAAAGATTGGAATGCCCTCATTGTTTTAAAGGATTTTTTACTGACACTCATCTTACTGCACATATAAACAATAGACATATATTTAGTTCTCCTTCATTATTCAAGTGTACTGTGTGTAGCCAAGTATTTACAAGGAAAGGTAAGCATAAAATGACTTTAGCTCACTTGGTTCATTAGGACCGTGTAAGTTTTTCGGAACAGTTTGCATTTGCTGACTATTTGTCATGCATAGTGACGCAGATTGCCTTAATTTGATGGTAAAACTTGAATTTTGTGATATCATAAAATAAATAACCTTGTCGAAAACAGAATGAAAATGATTAGTTACCGAACAAAATGCAGGATGCTATTTTGCAATTACCATTTTTCAAAATCTTGAATCTGCCTGTGTTGCTGGTTTTAAATTTAATTGTTGTGTTATTAGCTATCATATACATTGTGTAATATATGTTGCGTTGCTGGTTAAAGACCAATATGTTGTGTTGCTGGTTATAGTCTAATAGGTTGTGTTGCTAGTTATAGTCTGATATGTTGTGTTGCTGGTTAAAGACCAATATGTTGTGTTGCTAGTTATAGTCTAATAGGTTGTGTTGCTAGTTATAGTCTTGTATGTTGTGTTGCTGGTTATAGTCTAATAGGTTATGTTGCTAGTTATAGTCTGATATGTTGTGTTGCTGGTTATAGTCTGATATGTTGTGTTGCTGGTTATAGTCTGATATGCTTTCGGTTGCTGGTTATAGTCTAATATGTTGTGTTGCTAGTTATAGTCTAATATGTTGTGTTGCTAGTTATAGTCTAATATGTTCGTTTGCTGGTTATAGTCTAATATGTTGTGTTGCTAGTTATAGTCTAATATGTTCGTTTGCTGGTTATAGTCTAATATGTTGTGTTGCTAGTTATAGTCTAATATGTTGTGTTGCTGGTTATAGTCTAATATGTTCGGTTGCTGGTTATAGTCTAATATGTTATGTTGCTAGTTATAGTCTAATATGTTCGGTTGCTGGTTATAGTCTGATATGTTGTGTTGCTGGTTATAGTCTTGTATGTTGTGTTGCTAGTTATAGTCTGATATGTTGTGTTGCTAGTTATAGTCTAATATGCTGTGTTGCTTGTTATAGTCTGATATGTTGTGTTGCTAGTTATAGTCTGAAATTTTGTGTTGCTAGTTATAGTCTGATATGTTGTGTTGCTAGTTATAGTCTGATATGTTGTGTTGCTAGTTATAGTCTTGTATGTTGTGTTGCTGTGTGCTGCTAGTTATAGTCTGATATGTTGTGTTGCTAGTTATAGTCTTGTATGTTGTGTTGCTAGTCATAGTCTGATGTGTTGTGTTGCTGGTTATAGTCTTGTATGTTGTGTTGCTGGTTATAGTCTAATATGTTCGGTTGCTGGTTAAAGTCTGATATGTTGTGTTGCTAGTTATAGTCTAATATGTTGTGTTGCTAGTTATAGTCTTATATGTTGTGTTGCTGATTATAGTCTGATATGTTGTGTTGCTTGTTAGAATTTAATTTGTTTTGTCACTTGTAATCAGTTACCATCCTTTTTTGACAGCACTTTTAATGCAGATTTAGTTGGAAAATACAAATATTACAATACCTTGTATTTTACAAAATTATATTGTAGGTTCACTAAAACGACATGAACAGTCAAGACATCAAAATTTAAAACTATACCAGTGTGACAAATGTGGAAAACTTTTTCATCGAAAGCATTATCTAACCAGCCATCATAAAATTTGTCAGCAAACATTAAACAAGAAAATACCGAGAACTAGCAGTGAAAATGGAATTAGAAAAGATAAATTAAAGCAAGGGAGTAAGGAGTCAGCAAGTGGAGATAAAACATTGATAACCAATCATAGAATAGGACAAAAGGAGGTAGCAAGTGGAGATAAAACATTGATAACCAATCATAGAATAGGACATCTTCAGAGTTTAAATCAGAAAACAAATGCAGTGACCAAACATATTAAAGATACCAAGCATGTGACAGAAGATATCAAAGATACCAAGCATGTGACAGAACATATCAAAGATACTAAGCATGTGACAGAACATATCAAAGATACCAAGCCAATGTCAGGACAGAAAATTGATCTAGATAACAAACCTTATTGTCCTGAACATGATATTACATGTATTGTCAATATGAATAAGTCAAATGTGCAGGAAATTACCCATTGTGTTATGTATGAGACAGAGTCCGGGACTGAATATCATATAATATCAGATGATCCGAATAAACCTATAGATAATGACACTATAGCTGCATTAGAAATGCTGGCATCCCTTAAAGAAAAGGGACAATAAATTATGAAAATATGTTGAAATATAATGATTAAAACTTGTTTTCATTAATAATTACCCGAAAATCATAAAATCATTAAACGTTTTGGAAGTGATTGATAAATATGAAACATGAACTAAATTGGAAACATAAACATATTGTAATGTCAAAACAAGAAAAATGACACTGGATAGGAAGCAAATTTTAACCTTACAAGGTTTTAGTAATTTCTTTCATTATCATAGTTGGGACAGTATGCATGCACCTTTTCTGACAATTTATGATCAGTTTTGAATCCAATAGAACATTGACCAGATGAGAAAAAGAATTGAAACAAATGGTAAGAATACAAGTCTTTGAGATTTCAGATATCTTCTGCCTATCTTTTATTTCAACTCTGACCCAATTGAGCCTGGTCAGATCCTGGAAATGTCAATCTTAGGTATCTGAGATATCATGGTCATGCACAGCTGCCTTTGTGAGATTGTTATTAAAATATCTCAATATCTCATAGTAGTCAAAGTTTTCAAATAACTTTATATAATTTAATTCTGGATGTAACACATCTTCTTATTGGCTGAAAGTTTGTTGTTTATCAGCTTAATTTTGTCATGTGACCGTGATATCATCAACGTTTTTTCATGATTTACTCCTTATTTAAAATTAAATTATAAGGAATGACTGTAATATTTTTTTCTGTCTATTCGGGTTACGTGGGTTATTCAGTGTGCACCACATTTTTTATGTTATTTCTTCATAGACAGAAAAAATATTACAGTCATTCCTTAAATAAATTTAATAAATTCACAGTATTTCTGGGACAGATCTACAGACCCATGATTTTAGGTGTTTGCTGAGCAGGGTATGGGGCAAAATTTCAGAATCTTATGATTTTTTTCCAGATGATAGGAAAGTTACAGGGGTTTCACACATTTTTAGAAGAATTGGAGTATGGGCACCTGTCCCTGATTTCTTGAAATGATAAAGCTTTTCTCATCATCACTAAGACATATACCATTTTTTTCATATAAAGGCACATTTATACAATTTCTAGTTCTTGTGTTTTGTAGAAGAGAAAATTATAAAGGCATTGGAGACCCCAATAATGTTTACAGCTCATCTTGTCAATAGGTCCTGTATGACATATTGTTTTTGTCTTGAATTGATGAAATCGATGAGGAAAGACTAAGGCATGCTGTTTCTGTCAGCTGCGGTGGCGTCAACAATGTATTAGTTTGAGATTAGGTCAATTTAAGGGGAACCACTAGTGATTTGTCAATGACCTTTGGTATGTAGTTGTGTTAGCAATGGCACATCCCATTTCCATGGAGCTTAATTTGCCCTGCCCCTTTAGTGATAGTCTTTTGTCTTTGAAACTATTGCTTAGTTTACATGTTGAAGTTTGTGATTAGGTCAATTGAAGATGAACCACTTATGTTTAGTTAATGATAATTCTTATATGATTTGCATATCTATAAATACTTGAAACGGATTGGTCAATTAGAATTTTTTACCTTGGTTTACACTTCGATAAACCATGTTTCCGAAACTACTTTCGTACCATCTATTCATGCGCGATACACATGCATATGCAGGGAGTCCGGGATTTTCAGCAAATTGAGATTGAAAAACAAAAACATAACAGTTTTTTTCTATTTTAATGTTAACAAAAAAAAATATTGCATTAAAGCTTTGAAAATCTATAAAATTAAAATTCATGAAAAATTCCGCGAAATGTCATGAATGATTTAGCGCATTTACGTCATGGCAAAACACGACGTCATACAAATGAAAACTTTCAAGCGAAAGATTATTTCGTTACTTGTACGCTTCAAATTCGGATAATATCTCATTAAAATGCCGTTTTTGAGGTAGGTGCTATTTCATTTTAGATTCTGTTGCATTTATCGAACATTTACGGATTTTAGACATTCAATATGGCGGCTAACTCCTTAGTTACGACATGTGCATTTGATGGTAGTAGCCATCAAACAAAAAATCTTAACTAAAAATAGCGAATGTTTGACTGAAGAATTATAAGGATTAAACACATTTTTTCTAGAGGTTATTGATGTGTAAACCGGGGCTCTTACTCACAAACTTAACATAAAAGTCCTTCGGACTTTTATTCAGTTTGTGAGTTAATCGCCCCGGTTTACACATCAATAACCTCTAGAAAAAATGTGTTTAATCCTATAATATTTGGTATGCAGTTGTATTATCATTTGCACATCTCATATCCATGAAGATTATTTGGTCCTGCCCCTCAGTCATGGTTCGTTGATGTTAAAACTTTTGGATAGTTTACATGTTAATTTTTGTATTTATGTCAGTTTAAGGGGAACCACTTATGAGAAGTCAATAGTATTTGGTATCCAGATGTGCAAATGCTTTGGCATTGGAATGTGAAAGTATTGTTAAAGTAATGCCAATTTAAACTTCAACAGTTGCAATAACCTATCAATATAACATACAGGTGACACATATCTCTGTGTCAACTGTTAATTTTTCTTCCCTTTCTCAATTTTGATTCCCAGCTCTCCTTCTATCGATTCTGGAACTCCAACTGCCATCTTCCATTATCATCGTTTAACTTTTCATATTTTTATTTTCATGACTCATATATTAGGAACATTAATTGATTTGAGGTAGTATAATAGTATGTGACTGTTGTTATCGTGGTGTTGCACATCATAACACTCAATGGTTTTCTTTTGATATGGTTTGTTCATCATCTTGTATCTCAACACAATGAGCTTTGGCACCAAGGCATAGACCATACATTGTAGCTTTGTAGATCTAATGTTCTAAATTGGATAACTTACAGACAATATCTGATGTGACTTTTGAATAAGGTTATATTCAAAATTCACAAGCATAAAAGATATACAATTCAAAATCATGAAGCAGATGTCTATGGCCTCGTATGATGACATATTACAGCATGTTTTGTGAAGCAGATGTCTATGGCCTCGTATGATGACATATTACAGCATGTTTTGTGAAGCAGATGTCTATAGCCTCGTATGATGACATATTACAGCATGTTTTGTTAACTGAAATCATTAAAAACTTCGTAAAACAGGAGCAAGAAAAGAAGAAAATAGACCGAAAAGAAGAAGGGTTGGAAAGTGATTGATTGATTGTTGCTTGCATAACGTCCAGTGGCAAATATTTTATGCATAATCGGAACCAGAACAAATATACAATTTATAAGACCTCAGAGTTGTTGAAAAGTTTCATTAACATGCAGAGAGCCTGGTTTTCATCTTACATGGGACAAAGTGTAGGAATGGATTCAATCCTCCTGTCTGTCCTCATTTATTGAAAACATTAATAGAAACACCAATTCTTTGAAGATGGCATGGATATATGCGTATGTGTTTCTTTATTCTACATTGGCTAGAGGTATAGGGGGAGGGTTGAGATCTCACAAAACATGTTTAACCCCGCCGCATTTTTGCGCCTGTCCCAAGTCAGGAGCCTCTGGCCTTTGTTAGTCTTGTATGTTTTTTAATTTTAGTTCATTTATATGTTTTGGAGTTTAGTGTGACGTCCATTTTCACTGAACTAGTACACAATTTTATTTAGGGGCCAGCTGAGGACCACCTCCGGGTGCGGGATTTTCTCGTTGCGTTGAAGACCCATTGGTGGCCTTCAGCTGTTGTCTGCTCTTTGGTCGGGTTGTTTTCTCTTTGACATATTCCCCATTTCCATTCTCAATTTTATTTAATCGATATTAATATAAATGTTTACGATTGCCAATATCTGCATGCAGTCAGTGTTTGAAGGGAAAATAATTATCTGCTTTACAAGATAACCAAAACACATTGACAGAGGCAGGATTTAGGGGGCAGGGAACCTTGGTCCCCTTATGGAGCTACATATATGGTTAATGTATAGACATTTAACATGCTATATTCCTAACAATGCCTAGTTTAGGGGTCCCCCCTTTTTTAAATCCTGGATCTGCATCTGTTTAATATGGCAATCCGTTTTTATATTTATCAAATTTCAAGATATCTTATAAAGTTTATAAGATATCTATAAGATATCCTTTTTGAGATATCTTATTTAGTTAATATGATGTTATATAATTTATAAGATATCTTGAAATTTGATAAATATAAAAAAAACGACTTGCCACATCATTGTGTTTTGGTTATGGTGTACAGCAGATGAATATTTTCCGTTCAAACAAGTGTATTTTAAACAATATATAATTTATATTTTAAATCAGCTTAAGAACCTAAAAACCCTTAAGACTTTTAATTTGTTGTCAAGATTTTAGAGTCAGATTTACTTATTTAAACTTTAAACTATACACAAACTATATATGTGTCTATTTTTTTTTAAAACACTACAAGTTTTATGTACAATTCATTTACCGTGTTGTTTTTTTTAAATCCTTCACTGAAATCAGTGATTGTGCAAAAAATGTTGGTCGAGAGTATTCAATTTATGAGCCCGGTCAAACATGTTGGTATTATTAGCGTACAAAAAGCTTAGAAGTTGTGTCTTATACAACATTACTCAACTCTATTTATATGGTTATTTTAGACCTGAGCTCAGGACAGATTTACAGTGGCCATGAGGCGAGAACAATAATATGTATTGCATTTAACCATGTTGGAGCGACAACAAGGGAAGCGTTATGATCTCTTTCCCCAACTTTGAAAAAGAGGACACAGCGCGTAGCTTGTACAGAATAAAGTTTGAAAACATAACCACATTCCGGAATTTGATTGTTTTTGTTTTATGCCCATTGCTATACATTTTTGCTTTATATTATATACAATTAGCAATTGATAAATAATACAATTTAAAATTCTACATTCGTGAAACAAACACTGACAGGGGTAAAATACAAACGAATGCTGGAAAGTTGTCAGGGGACGTAAAACTTGAAATCGATCATTAAAGGATGGAATGTATAAATATACAGGTGTGATTGTTGTCTCTTTCGACATTACCAATGTGATAGCAGTTGTTTTCATATCCAACACATTTTATAACACTCTTTGAGTCTATATATTCAATGGAATACAGTGACTTTAACAG